GACTCGCGCCTACGCCCTCAACTATTCGGAGAGCAAGTGTCGTTGGGGAGCAAATGTCGCTGGGGAGCAAGTGTCCGGGGAGCAACAGTCGTGTTACCATAAAAAAGAAAAGTTTTTTTATTAAATAATTTATATTTTATCTTTAGAAAAAGATGGTATGAATATAATACACAACATAAGATAATTAATTCTTCTGATCAATTGTCTAAATTCATACGACTTATTTTAGTCAATGCATCTTCTGAACAATGGTCTACATCATTAACCCTAAATAAATATATTAATCATGCTTTAACTGTAACACATATTCATCATATAGAAATTCAGGAACATATTTTTATTGGTACATTAAGAGAAATTTTATATTTATTACCTGAACTTGATTCATTAGAAATTTTTTCTTTATCATTTTCACAATCAACATGTTTGTCGAGGGAAGAAATTGAAGATCTTTTATTTTTATCAACTAAAAATCGAATTACAAAACTTTGTTTAGAAAGGATAAGTTTGATAGAAGAAGTTTATTTCCTGATTGAAATTTTTCCTCATATCAATCATCTTCAAATCAATTTGATTCATTCTATGGATATTGAGTTATTTGTACGACTTGTTTTAATGCAAATTATGATCAAATCTAATCATCCACTTCGTTTATTATGTTTTTGTGTAGCAGCAGCCGATGATGAAATGGTTCAAAAATTAGAAAAAATGATCAATATAGAGAATCTACTTGTTGATTTTATAGTTAAACGTGTAATGAATGAAATCTATTTACAATGGAAATAATTATATTGTTTGTTGTATTTATTCTTATATGATATTGTTTAATAAAAAGTTTCATTGTTTCATGAAAAAAATATCTATAATAGAAAATTTTAATAGATTAATGTACCTGCTCGAATATCGTATGTCAAAATGATTGTGAAAGTAAACAAGAACAGTCAATAATTCATTGAAGAAGGAAAAGGAAAAGAATGTTATCATTTCAAACAGAATATAACCAATAAAATGTGGACATGTTATTCTTTCTTTTATATCATCAGTTTACATTCATCTTTAAAGTTTTACGTTTTATTACTTTCTCTGAAGATAAGGATTATCTTGATGCTGATCGATAGGAAGATTTGATTGTAACTTATTTGCCTGAATTAGTAGAATTTTATTTAGAATATCATTAATAAATCGATCCTGAATCTAGATATTTAACTGATTTCGAACATCCTGATCAATTTAATACCTTATTTTGGAATGAATGCAAATCCCGAGTCGAACTTTTTTTCGCATTCTTGGCATGCGCAGACTTCAAGACTTGTCCATAGCTCATAACTTTCTTGTTCAAGAACCTCAAGAAAGTCATGCGCATCGAAGAAAAAGTTCCATTAAAATTGTGATTAAAAGTAGTAGATATATTTTCACAAGTCGAACTTATTTACAGGTGAAAAATGTTCGATCTGGAAAGTGATTGGAACTCGAAGCTACCCTTTTTTTTTTACATAGAATTTTTGGTCTTATACACATGATATTCATGCTCAAGTATTTCATGCGCATTCTAAAAGATGTTTCAATTTGGGATGAGTATTAGAAGTTGAAATGGATTCTTTCGATTATGTTTATTCAATTCATTCATATAAGTAGATTGAAAAGAAAGTTTTATAATAGATAAAACAATGGTATGATGTCGCTTCTTTCAATGAAATTTTAAATTCTACTCGACTTAAACTTACGGACCTTCCTTGTGATGAATGTATGATATCATTAAAATAAATTATTCGTGATCTTTTAGTAGTCATACAGATTTATCATTTGGAAATTTCTAAAGAAAATATCTTTTCTGGTACATTAATCGAACTAGCAGTACATTAATTATCTGTACTGGATTCATTAAAAATATCTTGTTTGTGACATTATCACAATCAAGATTCTTATCTATCAACGATAGAAATCTTCGTTTTGTGTGAAATAAAAACAATATTACAAAAGTTTATTTGGTAATAATGAATAGTATCGAAGAAGTTTATTCTTATATGATATATCTCAAAATGAATTTTATCAATGATATCAATATTGAGTTATTTGTTAAAGATATTTTTAAAAAAATTTATAACAATTCTAATCAATATCTTCGTTCATTGTCTATTTATAGTTCAACAGCAGATGATGAAATCATTCAAGAATAACAAAAAATGATTAATCTTAAGAAATTACTTCATCAGTTTATAATTAGATATATAGTTTAGAACATATATTTGCAATGAAAGTAATTTAATATATTAAATGTTATGTTTACTTTTCTATTGAAATTTAAAATAAAAAAAATCAAGTCAAACTTCATCTATTCAAGATATTCATTTTTTTTACTTATACTTTTATCGACATACATTAGAAGGAAACAATTATTTGAGCTTGCATATTCTTACAAAAACAAACCAGGAATGAATAACAGACAGTCTTACATTTTTGTGATATAAAAGTAGCTAATACCACGAAAATTCACATCTACTGAAGTAAAAACTAACGACAGCTGTTGATAATTTTCTGAATTTCACATTAAGAAATAGGTATGTTATGGATTGGTAGATTCAACTTAGCTTCTGTTAACATAATCAAAAAATAACAATAGAGATTATTATAAGTGGAATGATACATAAATATGAACTCTTATATGAGAAGATATTTATCTTACCATAAAGTGGGTGTGGGTCAGTGGCGGTGGAGCCATTAGGCTTGGGGAGGCTCATATTTTGAAAAAAAAATCACAGATCTTAGCATGGATTTATATTTAGTATGCGAAAATTCTTTGAACAATAGTATGTTCAACCTCATATTAGATAGC